TCTAAACTGTCGGGATTCAAATGCTGCTTCTACTTACTACTTTAAGGATGATTTTAGCGTCGCGAGCCTGGGGGAAATCAGAGACGGTATCAGGTAGCTGTCTCCGAGAGGAGAATAGGTAGCAGGTAGCTTTTGCGAGTTTTACCAAGGTAGCGGGGAGCTTTTCGCGAGTTAACTAAGGTAGCAGGTAATTTTTATTAAATTTTCGCGATTCTCTCTCGCCCTTAGCCTAAGTAGTTACCCTACGGGAATACAGGTGACGGATTCGCCTGGAATTTCGTCACAATTTGTATCATTAAGCGGACATAACCCTTGATGTTTAATGGTTATCGAATTCGAATTCATCTACAGGTGGCTTCATCGAAAATCAGGTCGTGCATAGGAGAAGGCGACGGATTCACGAAAGTAATACCTAAGCCTACATATAAAGCCAATATTTGAATTACATCCATTATTCAATAACGATGATTGTAGTATACGATCGTAATCTGATGCCTGATGCGCCGCAACCACGACCAAGAGGGAGATTGCCAGCAGCGCAAGCTGCTGGCAGAGATTTGCGTCCCCAACAACCACGAGGTCGGAGGCGTCGTGCTGCCGAAGCTCTAGGAGCCCCTGCAGTTCCTGCGGTGGGTGGGATGGCAGAGCCTCTTGCTGATGGGATGGCAGCAGTAGCTGCTGATGTGACGCCAGTAGTAACTGCTCAACATCAACAAGATAATACGGATATCGGTCCTCAACAACGTCGAGGTCGTAGGCGTCGCGCTGCCGAGGCTCTGGTAGCCCTTGCAGCACCTGCTGCTGAAGAGATAGCAGTGCCGCAAGAGATCCCATTGAGAAGGCCTCGGGGGCGCCCGCGGGGGCGTCGTCAAGTGACAGATGAGCCAATGGCAGTTGGAATTACGGAGATGGCCGATCTGGCGCGTGAACAGAGGCCACGTACTAGAAGACAGATCCAACGTGATTCTGTTCGACGTGCAGAAGGCGCTAGAATGAATGATGGTGCAGCACCTCCAATCATTCCGCTGCCAGATCCAGTACTCGCGGAATATCTCAATATCCCGGTTCCAGAACAACCAAATGCGGAAGTTCCCATTATTGGGGTAACAGAAGAAGTAGATGCGGAAGATGCATTGATTCATGTACCGGAACCAGTAGAGGAAGAGGAATGTCATGTCATCCAAGAACCGACAAATGCCCCCGCTTTAGTGGAAATTGACCGCAATCAGGTTGTTATATAACTCGAAAACTAAAACCCATAAATGAATATATTTTTCCGGAACTCTCATGACTCAGTCACGTATGTACAGGAAAGGATTGAATCAGACGATGAGCAGTTAGAACCGCCAGCAAAGAGTAAGAAGTTTCGACGAGGAGTCCAGACAAGTAACAAAATTTTCCATTTGAGGATTAGTCCGGAATCAATCAGATTATCTTGGTATCGAGATTCAGATTCGAAATGCACACTTGAAACCATCGTTGGAGTTATAATTACGTGAGCACGTTCTGTCTCTTAACGACGTTCCACGCGTGAATGAAACATTTCATTACACTCACGGGCGGAAGACCAGTGCATATCCTTGCCCTGGCTTCTACTGGTGTTTATAATGTATGGAAGATGACCCCGATAAACAGTTATGTCTGCTTACATAAACCCCGACGCCGAGAGATATCTATAGGATGTCACTAGAGATACTTATGTAGTAGTTGATTACGGATATCATTCGAAAGTCCATGAGTCAGCGATCCTATCCACGGAAGCATACGGATATAAATTACATTGACCACATGGGCAATCGAATAACTTCATGGGTAACTTGTTCGTCATTCGTCTTTCGTATCGGACACTATCAAACACACTCATAATCGGATATATACTAATCCTACTTTTGTTCTTGGAGAGTGCTGTATTTGCGAGTCCATGCAGAGAGTGCAGAAACTGAGACCCTGCAGCCATCGCATTTGCGTACCATGTGTGAGGCATCTGATTACTCGAAATTGCCCATTATGCAGGGCATATATCGAATCGTATTTGCCTCCACACATGATGGGAGGCGAGCAATGGGAGAAAGGGCTTGACCAGGAAATCGAGAGAGAGTGGGAAGAGCAACTCGTCCTGGAGTCCCTGTAGAAAATAGCTGTAAATTAATGGCTAAATTCTAGTTGTTTTCGGGAACGTGTTCACATGAGGCACCCCGTCCAATTTTGTTTTCACTGTTTTTTACCTATTGACGAGTTTTGCATGTTATCTTACTAAACCGTTTCAATTTGTTCATTGTTTTACTTTTGTGTCAATACACCCTATTTATGAACTTCGTTCGTCATTTCTTTAAATAAATCCTGAACATAATTTCTTGGCAATATCAATTTTTTGCTTCCAAATCGGCGCCTTGTAATGGGAGATTCTTCAGATCTCGTAATTTTGCTTGGAAATGATGGAGATTCCCCGACTTCTTGGAGGTGCCCAGGATGTCTAAGAGAATCAGGAAGTCATTGAAGTTGACTTCAGGATTCGTCAATTAATGTACAGATCTCGGCAATGTGTACCAGGAATTCTTGAATGCCTCAGAAAAATGCGGAATGTTCGAAATAATTTGAAAATAATTGGAATCTACTACACATAAATCTACAACATTCAATTACGATTCTAGTTTACGTCAAGTAATTACTACTTGCCTGATATTTCCTTATCTATTGAGTTATTCCTCCAACAGTTATTATGTACCAAATATGTATTCAGCAGTAAATATCGAAGATAATCAATATATACTGAGTACATATTTAAAATTCCTGCAAAATTATCCAAAATAGCTTTTTTCACTCAAGTCTTTTCAATTTTACAATAAGACAATGTTAATTTGTAAGAAAATCCTTGTCACTTTCTGTTTGTTGCAATCCATAGATAGACTATTAAATAAATTTAATCCGCACGATTCCTCAGATATTGATTCGCCTGTTTCGTTTTTCTTTTGTTCCCCTCAAGATACCTATCACTATTCCGTTATTTTCCAATCTGATCTGTATCAATCATTATTATCTGATTGATTAGTTGTTTCACAGAAATCACTGACGTATCGCCTGAACAATGACATCTGCAATGCGTTGTTTATGTTCTATTGACAGCAACATTCAATTAATTTTGTTTTTGAAGAAGTGAAAAAATGGAAGAAACTACCCCAATCCAATTTAATTCGTCCGTTCTTGGGCTTCCGATTAATTTCGCTACAGGGCAGAACCTATTCTTCGTTTCGCGATGAGTCCAAACTTGCTTCTCTGTGACTTGAAAGCCTGACGTTCACCTGATCAAATCTCACAATGAACAGGGAAAGGTTTGCACGATACATTCGTTTCAAAAATTAAAAAATTCCAAAATTCCAAAATTCAAAAACACAAAAATTACAAAATATAGATAGTGGTCTGAATTTGTCGTAATCATTCATCCCTGCATATTCCACATCATTTGGACAAGATTGAAACTTTCAATGTGCAGGATCGAAATGTGCACAACTTATTTTTTATGCGCACAACATTTTCTGATTTGTACATAACTTGTCATTTAATGTGCACAACTTTTTATTTTAAATTAATTCAATGTGCACGATTTTTTCCCAAAAACGTTAATTTTTATTTCACGTGTACATTTTTTTGTACACATCCTATCTTATGTGCACGCAGAAAAATAGCACTGTCTACAATTTAATGGAGCGAAATTCCGTGCACAAATTTGATGTGCACGTTTAAAAATCAAATGTGCATATTTCATTTGATTTTTACATCTGTGCACAAACATAATTGTGTTCAATCCTTATGTGTATGACTCATACCCTGTCGCTAAAACATCTTCTGTTACACCAAAGTGGTCAGATGCGGGTCAGGTGCCTGACCACACCAAGGGATGAGACTTTATTAATTCTGACAGACCCAGATTTTGGGCAAAGAGTACCTAATTTTCTTCGCCTCAATGTGACCGCCCATCGCAAAATAGTCCCAGACATGGCAGGTACGACGCGTTTAGTCCTGTTCACAGCTGAACATCAGAAACGCGAATATATGTTCGGTTTCGGTCTTCTTAATCAATTAACAGAAGACGTTTGCTCGGATTTAATGGACCACGTTCGGCAAAACTTGCTGCCGGGGGTCGAACCGACTATTGTCACAACAAACATGGATAGAAGAATGATGAATGCAGCATCTGCTGCCTTTGAAGTAGCACAAATTCGCACCACCTTTTATCAGCAGTGCTGCGCAATATTGCACCACGCTTCCCAAGTGCCAGGAATAAATATCAGGAGTGAGGAGGACCAAATCGTATTAATGAAATTAATGATGATTTGTGTAGGGCAGGAAAACTTGATGCAAGAGGCATTCGACGGGGTGTGGCACCCTATGAACCAGGAAACACTGATCCGGTTTTTACCCTTATTGAAGTGATATAAGAGTCTCCTGGATACAATGCCGGATGGCTATTGCTTGCATAGGGATGATCCAGCTTTCCGTCTGATTGAGATAAAGACTCTATCGAGACTGCACTCAAAAATAAAAGCCACACGAGCGGGGTACTGGAATTTCCATAGACGGATATTGGAAGGTCTCCACGAATCCCATGAAGATTTGAGCAGGACGATAAATGCTCCTCCAAACAGGAGGAGTAACGTCACGAGAAGTCCCAAATTAAATTCTTTTCTTCGTTTGAGCACTCTACGAAATTTGTGGCGTTTGATGGACCAGCAGATTATGGATGCCCAACGTCTCATAGATCTCGCTCCAGGAGTTCTTACCAGATACTACGCCTTTTTAATACTAAATGAAGCTTACCTGCATGACGACTTTTGTCTGGGTCCAGCAGCCGAAGCCGAGGATTACGATGCATATTTTCTGCTGCCTCGTGTGCCCCACGATCCTCAGGCACTGATGAGACAGATTAACTTGGACCATCTCTTGGCCCATCGGACAAGAGAACGACAAGCATTTCCAATGGAAATCGCTGAGGATGACGCTGAAAATCAACAAGTTCCAGAAGAACGTGTTCTCAATCCCTACGATTGGCGATGTGAACTATGCACGATACGTCCGATCGAGACTATCGTCAAACCGTAACAGTGCCTGCGAATTTGTCGTGAATGTGCTGATCAAGCTCAACGAGGATGAGTTCCTGGACAAGCCTTGGGCTGCCCCACATGCCACCAAAGGGCCATGAGCTTCGGAAGAGCGTTTATACCCCTGAGAGCTGACAACGAACCTGCCGATGAAGGTGGTGATCCATACGAATGGAGGTGCACTATTTGTGAGTCCGGAACCGTGATATCTGTCATGGGGTCGGCCTGTCACCAAGTAATCTGCTGCACTAATTGTGCAGTACGACTTCGCACCGGACCTAGGCCATATAATAGGCCATTGGCCTGTCCGGGCTGCAACGTACCTGGGCCTCTAATTGAAGTAAATATCTGACGTCGGAGATGAGCCGGTTTTTTAATTATTTCACGAAGGTAAAAATACAACTATCTTTATCTGTCGAAGTTTTCAGATGTTCCTAATGAGTGTGAAAATTAAAAAGAGATAATGAGCAATTCAGTGACAAATACCTTACCTTTTAATCACATCAATTAATAATAACAATTAATAACGAAATCTAAGTACAGATGAAGGAAAGTCCTCGGTAGGTCCCTGAGACGTTCAATGTCATGTCCTACGATTCCATTAATCAAAACCTCGTGGAGACTGGGGATCAATCAAACAATCAAATGAAACGAATCATCGAAAACTGTGATTGCTTACCAGAGACGGCATGTTCAATCTCTCCACAGGATGGACTATTATGAAAGAGATGAGTATGACACCACTAGAAGCATTATATGTGACCTTGTTCATCGAAGAAAACCAGGACTTATTCACAAGCCTCGAAAAGCAGTAAAATACCCTGGAGACGGACTCAGTTATCGACACCCCAGTGATCGAGAATCTGAAACCAGAGGAAGACATTCACTAGTTGTCCAGTCCTTCACCAGTCATCGAGTACGTCAGTGATACTGTGGTGGATGAAAAAATCGAACAGGTTTCGGCTAATCCACATCCACATCCACGTCTCTCGGCAATCTGTCATCACTTATTCCTGCAACAAAAAACAAAAATCCCCACGTCCTGCTGTAAAATCACCGGTACCTAGAGGCACCACAGCAAGCCTTCAAACCATTGAACCCACTCGTAAAAGCAACACCTCTTCCACGAGTAGCTGCTTTTCCCCCAAAGCACTTCCTGACTCACAGCAACGAAGATATCTGTCACAGAGAAACTGCCTCCAAGTGTTGTCAATAGTGTCGTCAAGGCCAAACTCAAGATAGGTACGTAAAGACTCCAGAAAAGCCAACGATCGAGGCAAGACCAACGACAGCTCCTCCAAGGTCAAAGCTCTTATGACAACTGTCAAAACTCTTTCTCCATCCACTATTGAGGGTACCAAGCCCTAGAAACTAATAACAGCCCCCTCCATCAGCACCACAACAAGGACGATCAGAACGAGGGTCTCATCGTTATGAGGTACGGAGGACCATCAAAATCACTAGCTGTTAACAAGAAAACTGTCACCAAACACGTCTCCTCAAGTCGCATCACCCAATTATGAAGAAAACGAATTCTATGACTTCCATCACTTCAATGGCAACCAGCTATGTCACCAGGGTAACAGCTGTCAAAAAACCTCTGGGACAATTTGGGAGGAAAACTGCAGTTGTCAATGAGAAAACAAGTCCCAAAACCATCGCCACAGAGAAAATGGAAAATGGAGTTTGTGAAGGAAATGTGAAGGATGTCAAGGACAACTGCGGAGGCCACCAATGACAATCAGCTCATCAGCAGCACCGAGTAGAGAGGGAGAGATATTATTTTGTGGTTTTTTCAGGAGGGGGGGGCGGATTTTGCAGTGGAACGTCGAGGGATCCTTTCAGTGAATTTACCAACGAAAGATACTTACCTAGATTATTTCAATGATTTCGTGATGGTATTAATATGAATTTTATTGTATTAGACATAAAACGTCAATAAGTGGAAATTGAGATCTCATGTTCCACCGATGAATCCCAAATTTTTTTGGTTCAATCGACTGTGTTAATTTACTTTTTTCTTCTTAATGACTCTGTGTAACGAGAGGGGAGAGCTTAGGAATTTCAATCGAGGAACGCTTGCAAATTTTACTCCGTTATTCTTGCACAAAATCGAAATGTCTTTTTGTTTATCGATAAAAGCATGAATATTAATTGTAGTACATCTTTTATATAAACGCAGCGACTTCAGCTGATCCCTGGAATTTTTTGGCAGATATCTTGGTAACTGAGGGATATAGCGAAGTTTCTTTATAAGAGCTTTTATTTCGCTATTTCGGTAAAATTCCGCGATAATTCGATTCTTGTTAAGTCCATGCTGGCTCAAATTTCATCAAATTTTTCACTCGCAATTTGACTGTGGTTTTTTTTTATGTGTAATCAGAAGCAATGAAAGCACTAAAGACAACAGGCGAAAACCTAGTTGTAGTAGTGCCTATTTTATGCATTCGTTTTCTTATTTTTCTCGTGTGCATTACATAGTCGATTTAATGTGCAATTTGTCATACTATTGCTATTGGAAAGAAAGGAAAAAATGGGAGGGGGGCGGTCGGGGTTCCATGGTAATGAAAAAGAGAAGGTGTACAGCATTTTTTCATTAATTTGATATTAAACGTTTATAATTGTTATTATAAATAGAAGACAATTTAAAATATTGAATAAATGAAGTTGAGATTATCTTCAAGAAGTTCTAATTATATTTGAATGCAAAAAATTGACGAATCTTTTGGATAATTAAACTTAAGTGAAATTTAAATGTTCGAGGAAAATGTTATATTTATTTGAACAGCATATGAAAAAGCCTTCGTATCAATAAAAAAGTTGAAGTAGTTCTCTCAATCCAACGTTTACAATGGTTATTGTCTAAAAGTCTTATTTATCAATGAAAATCAGGAAAAGATGCAGAAGATTTATAGATTATTCGAGGAGTCCCTCAAGCTTGGATGTTGCGTCGATTTCTCCTGTCGTCTGCGTCGTGGCCTCGACGTTTCGTGTCGTGACAATTCGTGAATCGTCGTTGGAGGTATCTCCTCTCGTCTTGCTGGTACTTTTCACTCTCCACTCGATTTTTCATGGACTACCTGATTCTTTCCTGTTACTCAAGGTCTCACTGGATTTCTTTATTCTTTTGTGTTGTTTTCGTGGATGTTGGGGAGGCTGCTGCTGGAACTGCTGGAAGAGGTCTCTTGGGTCCTTGATTTCCTCTTCTTCCTCTCCTTATTTTTTACCCCTCTTTCTTAATTTTGGTATTATTACTAACTTGATTTTAACGTTGTTACGAGGTTTCGCCACTCCTCTTCCTCCTCCTCAAATTTCCCAATGTCTTCAATTATTTTTTCTTCCCTTTCATCGTCAGGGAATTGCCAAATTCCTTCTCAATGATTTAAATTTTCAGTCACCATTGGTTCTTTAGTTCCGTTCATTATTGCTGTTTTACATTTAATAATAAACTTAATTTTGAAAGGAACCTTCTAAAATCTTCTGAATTTTATTTTTTAAAATCCTTCACTCGGGAATTCCACTATTATCTACAGTTCATAATATTAGCAGTAGGTAATGACGAGATTAAACTGTATCGGCATTCATTTTCGAACAAATCGACATTCGGATGTATATACCTACGGAATAGTCTATTTAACTATCTACGTACGTGTATTTATTATAATGGCTTCGAAAACAAAAATTATGGTCATAGGATTCTCAAGGTATCAACGAAATCTCAGAGAAACCAACAAATTACCTTTAAATTACAAATTACCATTACAAATTCATCGTTAAGGAGTCCGGTGAAAAAGTATGTGTGAAATATTAATTGTTAAGCATACGCTGCGCTTGTTAATATTCACATAACATATTTATCTACCGGCGACTCATTAATCAGTAAACACGGTTTTCAAATCTGACAATGAATCCAACTGAAACGTTTTATATTGATTGAACATATTATTCGGCAAAGAAAGTATATACATATCTGTTGAATTCGTTATCTAAAATCTAATCACCAAGGCGACTCCTTTTTATGTATTATCTAGTCGGTGGTTGATCTTTTGATCACTTCATCCATTTAATATTGTGGTAGGGAACACAATTAATCATTTATTTCACATAATGTACCTTTAAATCAACCTGTCGGAACCCCCTCTCGGGTAATTTACCTCAATAATTATAACTTGTTGATCCTCTCATATTTGACAAAAATCTACCTTTCGAAAACTATCAATGCCATCAATAGGAGAACAGATGAATAGTTTAACATACAGCTATTAATGATTGAATTGTATTTCTTTAAGCAAAGAGAACACCTGAGAATCAATCAATTGAAACATATTTTGATTTTTATACGGACTGCTGAAAAATATTAGCAATTCATTCCTAATTGGTATAAGACATAACAAAGTTTCAAACAAAATTATTTTAAAGATACATAGATGTCTGTCAATGATTTAGGTGAACCGCCACATACGTCAGATTAAGGCCCGGTTGGAGGGATTTCTGCCCGACATGTCCCTAGAAAATTCCCTAGGAAACGGATCAAAATTGACTGTTTACGGCGTTACTAATTACGACCGTATTATTAGATGAAAAAATCCAATTTTGGTCCTAAAAAATCAATCATTTATTTCGGTGGGTCGGAAATTAGGTCTGGAA